TGTAAAATTGGATGGTTAACTTGAAATAGTATATAATTTCCACAAACTAGTTCCAAAATTTTCACCAATGTTGGCAGGCTTCTCTTTGTGTGAATTATTAAGTCACTTGTGTGTTATTTGAATTCTGCTGATTTTTAAATTCTTGATGCCCCTGTAAATGGGTGCCATTTTCCTGGTTGAAGGTTGCACTGGCTTGGTTTTATCCTTTTTCTTTTTGGACAGTCTGGTGATATATTTGTAAAGTTTACTGGTGGTTTTGGAGGTCATAGAAAAATATGAAAAAGAAGATCCTAAATAGTTTTTTATTAATTCGGCTGTCCAAAAAGTTTGTGAACACAGTATCTGTGCTTTTTAAAAGGACTTGTGAAGAAACCACAAAGTTTAAAAATGGGCTTATGTCCTTGGTGTCATGCTGCCTTTTGATTTCCCATTGGGTGAAGTTTTTATGATTTGTTTATGGAAAAAATAGGTTTTTGTTTGAACTCCTGGTTAATGATAAGCATAACCATTTAAGCAATAAGTTTTTTGCTTACCTTTTGAACCCCTCCTCCGCACCACCAGGTGTCTCTTGTACGATCACCTTCCAAGACAACACCAAACCAGTGCACTCTTCAAAATAAGCCTTGTACAAACAATCATCAGCTCAAGAGTGAGGCGTGCATTCATATTCACTGTATTTAATGCTTGTTTGTCTATGTGACTGTTCCGTCTTCGCCTTTAATAAAGGATCCAACTCTGCTTCCCATCATCCCGCCATAACAGTGTCGACGCCTATGCTGGACAAGATTCACAAATCCGACGACACAACTCCGGACGTCTCGAGTCACTCCCGTTCCTCCTCCAAGAAATCAAACCATAGCATACACAGTTTACACCTCCCTGGTAAGCAAGTTCTATGGCAGAGGGGTGTCTGAAGTTGGTAACCATATTTATGCTTGGCGGCCATGTTGGAATTGGCACTGTGGGTAGTGGTGGGGGTACAAAGTCCAATTCAACAAGACCTAAAAATGATATGCTGCTATTTATGTTGTTGGGTTTGAATTTTTTGGTGAAATATTTTGATTGAAAAATATTTTATGTTATTTAATTCCCTTTCCCCCCTTTTTTTAAATAAGGAAAATGATTAATAGATAAATAAAAGACACCTATGTATAGTTCTTTGGTTCTTGGGCAAAAGGCAACTAAAAGACAGGTTTCATGATTTTTTTCTCAGTATTCTCAACCAAAAAATTAAATGGGAAAGAGAAAAAAAAAGGATTAAAAAATCAGAAGTAATGAAGGCATAATAGTGCCTGGTTTAAAATCTCAAAAACTTGACCAAAATGATAATAACAAACTCTATATTATATTAAATTGCTATATTTCAGGCAAATTGTCCCCACTTTCTTATTTTGAAATCAGTACCATCACATTCAATTGTCATAAGAGTGTCATTCCACAGTATACATCTTTTTGCCAACTCTGTAACTCCTTCATCACTTCACATTCCTTGTAAAAGGGCAAATAATAAAAACAGTTGCATGTTATTCCAGTATTTGTGAAGTACATTGAAATAGCATGGAAGAGGCTTAAAGCTGTATGCAGGAATATGAAATTTAATGTTATAATAATCATTGGGACAAATACTTTTTTTGATAGCCTGAAAGTGCACTGAAAGCAAATAATGGTGTAATTTTATGCAACTTATTTAGTCTAAAAAAATTAAGCAAGGCATGTTCAGTCAATTTCCAGTATAAGCAAATTCTCAATTTTACAGTGGGGAAAATGGAAAAAAATTACAAAATAGGTGCTGCGATAAGGAAAAATACTGTGGAGTGCCCTACAGATAAACTGAAGATTATTTATGGATAGTTTTATGCCACCTCTTTTGATACTTGAACCAAAAAAAAAAGAAAAAAGAAAAAATGGTCCATGGGCCCAGACATAATATGGTTACTGGCCATGACACAAGTCCTCAGTCTTCATGTTCTTGCATGTTTCTGACATTGTAAATCTATCTCTTACTCAGTGGATGTTCCCCAAATCCTTCTGCTGCAAAATGCTTTTTTTTTCACCAGCTGAAACAATATGTCCATATCTTTATTTGCTCAAAAGTTGAAATAACAGTTTTTTGGGGGGTTGGTTTTATTTTTTTATTGTGTCCTTGACAAGAAGAAATAACAAAAACAAAAGCACACTTTCTTGTGGCAGATTGTTTTCATGCACTGTGACTGCACATTTTTATCTGTCTGTGTCACATTTCTGCTTTGAGCTGATACATTTTCAGTGACTGGGGGTTGACTGGAAAATGAACTTGTCAGGTGTGATTAGTGAAATTTCAATCAAAATTGATTATTGGCCAACCTTTTATGGTCATTTTTTAAAAAGTCTTTTTAATGAAAAGATTCAAAATTTTAGGGAAAAAAAATAGACACTGGTAATTTGTCCATGGATTAAGTCTTTAAAGATGTATATAAAATTGTCCAGTCTCCTTGGGGCTGAATTGTTCAGCAGTCAATGGTCAGGTTGGAAAAGCTCTTTATTGTCGTTGTGATGGGAGATTGTGAATTGTATGCCACTTGTTTATTGCTGCACAGATTTCTCGTTGCCTAGAATGTTGTTAATTTTATGACATTGCTCGTAACCTGGATTTTATTTTCGTACACTCCAGTGGTTTTTGGATGGTGTCCATATTGTGCTGTTCATTTCTCTTTTTATGCCTTCTTGAACCTTTTTTGATAGGTTTTGTTTTATGTTATTCTTTCCTTTTGTTCTATTTTTGTGCATGTGAATCTCTTCTGTCACAGCAGCTAAAGCTTAGGTTAGGATCATTTGTCTGTGATTATTTTTATTATTTTTTTGCTTCTCCAAGCACCATTTGCTTTCTGTTCCTTGAATGTTCTCTGTTATGTTTTTATATTTGTGAATGTCACTTTGTCAACTGTTTGTTTGATTGTCACTTAATGTTCATGACAGCAAGCACCTTGAACTGCATGTTATATATGGAGATCTATTATTCATCAAAGGCACATTTCCAGTTGTTGTGGCTTAACTGAATATACACATATACTTGTGCTTACAATATCTGTTCATAAGAAGTTTATCTTAAGGCGTGTCACTTGCCTTGATATAGTGTACATGGGTGGGGCAACTGAGTGATTAGATTGGCTTCTTATGGTTGGAAATTGTGGTATCATCAGGCTTACGGTGAAAGTATGTACTTTCAGTGTAGCCAACACAACTTAATTGGGAATGTGCCTAATTTTGATCATTTGTATCACAATGATTTTACTAAAATTTAAATATGCACAACTTTTTTTGTTTAAACCAACATGGTTGTTGTACAAAGGGAAGTGGGAAGAAGGTGTATGATTTACAAAAAAAAAAAAAAGATTGAATATTCTGGTTGGTCATTCTGACTGGGCTTGGGGGAATATTTGTGAAGTGAAACATCATTTTATATCTATTTATATATCAGTTTGCATCACTTTAGCATTGATTTTCGCGGTGATACCCTCATTTTAAAATTCCCAATGCCATGCCAAAGTATTAAGTCATATCTCCTGAGAATGACACTGTTAATGCTGAATTCTTATCATAAAGTCAAATTAAAAGAACTTGCTCACCAGTGACATAAATCAACATGTTTCCCATCTCCACTCTTGTACATACAAAGCCTAACTTGGATCCTGTATTTACTGTTCATGGAGCTACATTCAGCACTGTTTAACATGATACACTGTTTAACACAAAACTAGCTTCAGGATGTTGACTAATTGATATGCAGTTCTAAAGTTAGATTCTCTGCACAAAGATTAATGCGTGGATGGTTTAATTTGCTGTTAAGTCACAGCAGAAATGGATGTCACTGACCTGTTGCTAGGGTGGATCTGACTTGTGTAATAGCACTTGTCAAGAATAAGGGTGCGTCTCCAATGAATCTTTGGAGCGTGCGACACGCATCCTCCAGCAGCTAGTGGGTGGTTAACTTTGGTGTTGGGTCACACAATGTGAAACAACATCCAGAAGCCAACTGCATACGGATGTAAATCAATCCCTAGATGCTTAAGGAGGCAAATCAATCCCTAGATGCTTAAGGAGGCGTGTCCCTGAGGAGTTGGATCAATCTACCTTGAACAATAGTTCCAACAGGAACGCACCTTAAAAGACCCTAAACATGGCTGAATCTCTCATTTCTTTGTTACATAAACATGGAAGCAAGATATGCTCTGACTTTGGTTGTCAACATTTGCCCTGGTAAAACTAGACTGCCCAGTTTAAACTAAATCCACGAATTCAATCAAATAGTCAGTTTCCTTAAGCTATTCCCAGAATTGTTGTTGCAAACTATAATTATAACCAAGCACTTGCTGGCAAACATAGGGAGTCTCCCTTTTGAAAGTAGTCCTGACACCATTATATATCAATTCCCATCGATAGGGTGACTCCGGTTTCTGTCAACATACACACTTAATGATAAAATCTAGCAAATAATTTTATTTTAAAAGAAGTCTTGGTTATAAAAGTTGAAATGGTGCTGAATGCAGTTGAACTTGCTATAGTACCATGGCATCTACACATAGTCGTAATTACGCAATTGGCACCCAAGCTGGTAAAATTGTATCTACGGAAAAATTTCACCTGTAGCTCAAGGCAATGTTTTGTCTAAGAATAATGAAGACTTTATTGATTTTGTTTTTGTCAGGTTGCCAATGAAAATCACATTGATTTTGTTTTTCGCCGGGTTGCCAGTACTTTGACAGAAATTGATAATGATAGATTCCTTTATTTGATTTGCTGAGGAAAAAAAAAAAAAAAAGGAGCAGAAATATTTCAATTTAATCCCTGTTGATGTGTTTTTGCATACAGTTTTTTGTGTAGATAAAATTGTATTGTATCATATTACTTGATTATGTGAATGGTAATGCAATGTGATCAGCATTCACTCTGAACCCTACTGTGCCAAGGCATATGAGATCTGAGTGGCCTCACACATTATAATTGTCTTCTTCAAGTAGCAGATGCCTGTACACAGGAGCTACACAATATTAAACTTAGTAGATAAATGTAATTTTTGGAAAGGAAATTATTGTTGGCCTTAAAGACTGAAAAAAAAAAAAACAACAACTGAATTTGGTTATCAGGGTTCAGTGTGAATGCAGCCTAAGCGCACTGTAGATGTACTGTAGATGTAGTGTAGATGTACTGTAGCTTAGCATGTGGCCAGTGTGGTCTCTGCGCCAAGGTAAGTCAACGAAAACAACCTCTTCACGGCTCCTCATCGCATGCTGCCAGCTGTTACAAGGTGAGATTCACAGCACAGGCTGGATGAAAGTAACATTTACACTCATAGAATTGAGGCACTTGCATGTCCAAGAGAAACAAAGGTCTTGTTTTAATAGCATTTTCGTTATTATCATTACTATTAAACATTTCTAATGTAAATTGAAGGAAGAAAATTTCACAATTTGCAATATCATAAAAAATTTTTGTTTTTTGTTTGGGGAAGATTTAACATAAATTATAATGAAGCACTTTTTATTATTTGAGAATATTTAGTACTGCATTTAGAATATATTTAACACTAAACTGCAAAGTCATGCTCGGCACTTTGTTTAGGGAACTTATTTTCTGTGTGACTTGGGTATGCAATCACCCTGAATTATGTGTAAATGTTTCAAAAATGAAGCATGTAAGTACTAAACTATTTCTAGTCCAGGACTATTTGTGCTACATTGTAAATATATTTTTTATAGATTATATCAACAGTTTAATAAATATTGAACATACGAACATATTAAACATATGAAAATTAGATTGTTAGTTTAATACTTGCTTTAAAATATCGCTTGTTTTTTGATATTATATTTCAATATGTAATGATTCTTTAAAAGTAAATGTAGCAATCTTTAGTAGCATTTAAAGCATATTAAAAATTTAATTAAATGTTTTAGAAGCATTTTTTTCTGGGAGAAAGTTATGTGATAAAACTAAGCTTTTGTAAATAAAATGTCATACTTTCAAATTTCCTTGCTATTTCATTTCCACTTTTGCATGCGATGCCTTTTAAAAATTTGAGCTCTATAATATCATTGCCTTACTATATTGAATGCTTTTTTCTAATTGTTATTTAACATGCATTCTTAGTATCTTTAAGTTTCATGTCCAAACTTCTGTCAAAATATGACCTCATATAGAATGTTATCCATGAAATTTCAGCAACCCATTGTTAAAAGTTCAAGCCCTTAATTCACTCAGTTTGGCATTCATTTTGAGCATCCATTTCATATTGTATTAAATTTCTCTCTCTAGGAAATATTTTTCACAAATCATCATTTATTTCCATTAAAAAATAATTTAGAGAAACAAAATGAGAAAAGGAAAGGGAAAAAAAGAAACATTTTGAAATCCTGTTTTTTACCATAATATAATTTCTAAAAAAAAAAGAACATTATTCCTGTTTTCATTCCAGTAACAAACTTAAAATTATTTTACCCATTTCAATTTCTTTCTTTGTAATTTCAATTTCAAGTCATTGCCATTTTAAAAAGCATCCATGCCCCCCTACTCCCACTGTTGCCTGGGCAACTCCCACTAACCATTAACATGTCATCTATTAACCCATTGCTAGACTCAAATGACCCCTGGATTCGCCAGAGCACCTCCTCTCTCTTGCAAGGTCTAGGGGGGAAGATGAAGCGCCAGAGCATCGATGTGAAGAGCGGCAACATACTCATTAAGGATCTGGTCTGTTACTTGTCGTTGCTGGAAGCCGGGAGGCCAGAGGACAAATTAGAATGTGAGTTGGTAATATTTATGTATTTCGGATCATTGCCAATGAAACTTTCATGTTATATAGATCAAGCCAACTCCATGGGGACTCTCGCTGAATGCAATCAGATGAACAGATTAACTCGCATCCTCTTGTTTCCAAGGTACTCATATATTCACCAGCTTTTCTGTATTCTACTCGAGGTCAGAAGGAGGCATGTTAATCTGTTATTCTGATTACATTCAGTGAGAGTCTCCGTGGAGTTGGATTGATCTATGTAGAATGATATTTTCATTGGGAATGAGCCTTTAGGCTGTCTACTAGAATAAGTGCAGTTAAGTTCAGATGAAATTACATGTTTTATTGTTTATAATCATGTTATTATTATGACATTAACAGTAATGGTTGGAGAGTTAAATAGAATGGAAGTTGGTTTTATTTTATTATTCATCATTGCAAGAATGTCAAGTATATTTTCGTTGTATAATACATAGCCTTTTTTGTACCTGAAATGTTTACTGTAAGGTAAATTGTTAGTCAAAGTGTAGAGACTATTGATGATTATGTTGAAGCTCCTTCCAGTAATCGTGAATTTGAATCTTTTTAATGAATCATCACTACACATGAGTTGATTTTTTTTATTGGTCAAAACTATTTGAGCTAGAGGAGGGTTTTCTCCCTGACTTATATTGGATGTTTGTTGACATTTTTCCAGTTATGTTCAGGTTATATGATACAGATGGCAATGGTCTGCTGGATGCTACAGTAAGTACATAGAACCAGGTCCCCGTAACTCGATAGCATCGCGCATTGCAACCAATGCGCAAGCGTCTCTATTCCATAACTCGTCCATACTCGTCCCATATTATACATTGAAGCCTCTATGTGATATCGCTATTCGCAATATTCTATGCTTTCGAGCTACGGGGCCTAGGTCCAATATGTCCGATTTGAATTGCTGTTATCAGATATATGACAAATTTAATTGAAGAAAAAAATGAAACCTTGAAACAATTACATCTTTGAATTATGTGAGAGAGTAGCAGTACTGAAGAGAATCAGTGAATATGTAAATAAAGTGATGGAGAAGGAAGTGCAGTAAGATGCTAAAACATTAAAATAGGCTTTATTTCTTGTCTGCTCAGTTTTCCTTATCTGTTATTTAATATATAATCTTCCTTGATTGCCGCCAAATAATGAGGTGTGACATTTCCACTGTTACATCTTTAGTGTATGTCTGATTTAAATTCTTAAATTAAACATTCAGTTATTTTCTTTGTACATTCATTTATACATAATTTTATTTGTAGGAGTTGGACTGTATAGTTAATCAGATGATGACTGTGGCGGAATATCTCGGCTGGGATGTGACTGAACTTAGGCCCGTGAGTATTTCTATTACCTAATATTATCAAGGAGTGTCTCACTCTTTAGTAGAAAATACATTTACTGATCAGTTGTTTCAGATATCCATTGTTTGTTGTGAAATTTGCTCACACAAGTTTTCAAGATAATTGTTTCTTTTTTTCTTCTATATAACCAAGTATCTCACCTTGATTCCTTTGAATATTTATTTATTTATTTATTTGTTTTTTTTTTTATTTATTTATTTATTTATATTTTCATGCCTGTCAAGCCTTGCAGTCTAGCACAAACTCAATCTCTGGGGGAACATTCTGTTATTTTATTATGAATCAGTTGTAATGTAAGACTAAGATATAACCCCATGGCTAATAAATAACCTATGAATAATTCACAGTTTGTAAAACAGGAGATTTGATATTTAAGACCAAAATAAATAATTCAACAAAGTAGAATGATTCAGTTGTTGTTTCCCATTCCAGATATTAAAGGACATGATGGTAGAGATTGACTATGACAATGATGGCACTGTGTCACTGGAGGAGTGGAAACGCGGCGGAATGACGACCATACCCTTACTAGTACTGCTGGGATTAGATACTGTACGTAACCCACACATTTGCACACTTTCACACATACACAAACACACGGACAAGCATATAAGTGCATGTTTGAGAACACATTTACAGATAAACACACAGTCATGCTTCTTCTTCAACAGGAGGTAATTAAGTACCCAAAATCATTTATTAATAATTTGTTTCGCTAGGAATAGATACATACATAAGCTCTTGAATATCTGTTATGTATTTGTTTAATGTAAGATGGTCTCAACCTCTTGCAAGATCATCCAAACCTTATATCACATGGTACTACATATACTGAATATCTGTAATTTAGGGGAATTTAATTGTTGTATGTGATGCTGTTTTTATTTTGTTGTAGAATGTTAAAGATGACGGGCAGCATGTGTGGAGGTTGAAACATTTTAACAAACCAGCTTACTGCAACCTTTGCCTCAATCTCCTGGTGGGACTGGGAAAACAAGGGCTAAGCTGTACATGTAAGTAGTGAAACTGTTATATATATTTATTTTCTTTTTTTTTTTAATATAATTTCATTTGATTTTACTTTATTTTATTTTGGATGAGTGGTTGGTAGCCCCCTTATTTCATGAAATATGAGTTATGCAATCTACTGGATTTTGTGTTAAATGTTCATAAATGGGGAATATAGGAGAAGGGGAGGGTTTGTCAACTTTCAAGATTCATATCAAATCGTGTAGATCTTTAAGAAGTTAATAAGTTATTATACTGATGCATCTATGAAAATATGCTTTAAAGATGTAATAACTAAGCTTTTTTTTTTCCTTTTTCAAAATCCCTGAAGAAGGCCTAGGGCCGAAAGCTTGGATTAGTTATTACATCTTTATAGTAGATCTTCATAGATGCATCAGTATAATAACTTATTTGTTTCTTGGTTTAGAAATGAGGACAGGCTGTCAGTGACTCTAAATCCTGACCCTGAATAAAGTTGGAAAGTACTACAACTCTATTACAAGATATTTTTCCAAAATAAGTTTTTTGAGCACTTAAATCACATATATATATTTATAAAAAAACGTTTATAAGGGTGTCTTGTCCTTATATTTAAGTGTAGCACAGTTTTTTCATTTCATTTGCTATAAATATTATTGTTTAGTAAATTGTATTCATCCATATGTATTGAAGCATCTTCCGTATAGCTAAAAAAAAACACGACTATTGGTACGCGTATGATCGATAACTGATTTAATTCTCGTTAGATTACCATCCGCCCCCTTCCTTATGAATAGGTATTACTTTATTAATACAATGCAACCGTCGTGTAGCCGCATGTTAGAAGACAATGTTTGATTACGCACAGCAGTAGGAGGCCGCTACCCCTTCCCAGCAAGGAGTCAACACAGCAGCGCGTAACCCGGNCTATAGTGTTATTTGGTATGCTGGCACAATCTTATACTTATTTCTACTAAAAAAAACATTTACTTTATTGATATGTATTCACTGGTTGTATTAAATAATCACATTATGTGTACATTAGCAATAAGTTGGTCTGCTTTTGTCTATTGAGCCGAGATGCAGGTAGCATAAGGGGTGGGGGTGTATTGAGCTTGTCTTAGGTCAAAGGTCAGGGGTCATGTGACCAAGGTAGGGCCATGAGATAAGACAATCCACTATTTACATGAAATCTTTTGCAAATCTAATCAGTGCAGTCACACAGTTTATGGGTTGTTGATTGCATTACATCTCTTCAGTTTCTTTGCATGTGGGCAGCTAATATTGAATGGTACTCATTTGATTGCTCGATCTCATGCTGTGGATTGTACTTATTCTGATCATAAGGGAGGGATCCTGTCTTTGTAAATGTTTTGAACAAAGTGACAGACTCTGCATCTCAGCTCATAGTGTTTGTTTTATTGTGCATTTCTTGTTTTTTTTTTATTTTCAGTTTGTAAATACACTGTTCACGAACGTTGTGTTCACCGAGCACCGGCGTCATGCATTACTACATATGTCAAATCAAAAAAGACACCTCAGGTAGGAGACTAGCAGAGAACAGGAAAATTTAGAACACCCTATATCAGATGCAATAGCCAGTGCACACTGGCAAACTGAATAATTTTTTGTGACATTCTCCACAAAGCTATGATGGGAATTACTTTTTCTTCTGTTTAGTGTTGGTATATTTGCAAGATTTGATGTCTTTTTCGAACACTTTCTCACTCATCCTTATCTTTCATGTTTCAAATGAAAGACATTCCTTCTCCTTAATTTCTTGTTCAAGTTCTACATGTGGCACTGACTCTATATATAACTTCTTTTCTCCCAGTTCCATTATTCCTGTCATCTTTCTATTCCACATCTTTCAGTGTCTTCCTTGCTTCCCCTTGAATTACAATTTTCCCTTTGCTTCCTCTTGAATCTCGTATCTCTTTGTGTCCCCGTATATTCCTCCAAGGTTTCCATACTTTTCATGTAACTTTTATTCTTAACATTGTCAGATTGGTATTGCTGCAACAAATAATCTGCAAAAAATTCTAAAGTAGGAGTATTTAGCTAAGGGAAGGATTTACTAGTTTTGGTAAAAACCCTCTTTCGAGATTGTCTCAAATTTGAATTTTGACCTAATATGTTATATGGGGGAGCTAATTGGTATTAAACATGTCTGATTGTCTGCCAAGTATGAAGTTTTTTTTTTTCATTTAATTTAGCACATTTTATTGCAAATTTTGAGAAAATTTCAGTCAGTGTGTGATTGCGTGAGGCCCACAAGTACACTTTTTATGTTTTGTTGAAAAATTAAAATTGATTATTAAAATAGCGTAACTCTAAATGAGTTGATATATTTTGAGGTGTGGGAGAATTAAATTCTATTTTTGTGAGAAAATATGGCATTGAATTTCTTACCGGCTCATAAAAGTATGAGTTTTCTGAAACAAAGAAAAAAGCTTAATGTATTTAAGTCATTCACACCATACAACGAAATGGATCATTTTTATCTCTGAATTTTCTATTAAATTTTTATAGGCTTGATAATGGGTCATGCTACACCTTTGCCAACTCTGGCTGAGTAAATTTCATATGAATGCCCAACTTTTAGTTTGGCAAAAGAAACTGTAAAACATTCAAGCTTTTTCAACAAGATTGATAATTAATTTTAAGGTCTGGCTTATCTTGAAGAAATGGGACATTTGGCTTAAAGGGATTATTTAATCTCTAAAGAAGCTGTTTTATACAATTTATCTGCTATTAAACAGGAATGGCACACAAAGCAGCACTTGATCTTAATTAAGTTGCCTTGTACTTGAATGCTGATGTAGTGGAGTAAATGTTATAATACATGACATAAATTGTCCCTCATTTAGGCCATGCTTCATCACTGGGTGGAGGGGAACTGCCCTGGGAAATGTGACCGCTGCAAGAAGTCTATCAAAACTTACAATGGAGTCACAGGATTACATTGTCGTTGGTGCCAATTAAATGTAAGTGTGTGTGTGTGTGTGTGTGTGTGTGTGTGTGTGTGTGTGTGTGTGTGTGTTTTTTGAGAGAGAGAGAATGGACACTGTTATTATTGAAATTCACAAAAGAGTTCGTGTATTGTTTAGCCAATGTAAGGACGTGTTTGTGTGTGCATGTTTGATTTTTGATGTTTGTTTAGATGCTCTTGGATTAAGTCATTTTTTTCTCTGATATAAGTTAATTTGCAAAACTGTGCAATTTTAAAGAAAAATAGTAAAGCTTTGGAAATATAAAGAAAAAAAGAAAGACAACAAAATTCAGCAGCATGTACCATTCTCATTTTTTCTCTTCGTCTTTCAGCTTCATAACAAGTGCGCCTCCCAGGTGAAACCTGATTGTGATATGGGAGAATTCAAGGACCACATCCTCCCTCCCACATCTATATGTCCTGCAGTGCTGGTGAGTTCTTCTTGTTATCACATCCACTACTACCACCACCACCACCACCACCACCACTACCACCACCACCATTACCTGAAAATTACCAATAATTAGTATTTGCTAGGTTTTTATTTCTAAAGCGCTGTTTAGATCGATTCCTATTCACATATCTATCAGTCATCTGATTAACACATGCATTTGGCAAATCTGGGT